TTGTTTGCTTTCAGCTCTGTGATTGATGAAGCGACTAATGAGTAATACTGAGGTTGCTCTTATTCTCTTAGTAATTCTGAAACTCAAGTTTCCAAAAATTTGCTGAGGTAGCTAATCTGCCAAGACAAACCTAAACATGCTTACTCAGGCACCTATAGGATGACCTAAAGGTTGGTATTTGATAAAAAAGATATACAGGGAAAAATACAGTTGTTTAGGCTTTTTAATAAATTTCATCTCCCTACTGAACTTTCGGTTTCCATATATACAGATCAAGCTACTTACTTTAACTTCTTTTCTATCCACTTGACAAACTTCACAACCCTTCATTGTTTACTCCTTTATTCCTTAATTTGTAGGCCATGTTACCGCAAGCTGCTTGAATTCTAGTGGTATGAATTTTATCTTGACTTACCCTGCACTGTCTACTTCATCATGAGAGGTTAGGCAGTGCCTCGGTTAAATATACAGTTGCCTCGTAGCTGAAGTGTTTCTCTGTCTTGTCCCTTCTCAGAACCCTATTCACAGTGGAACATTAGTCGCGCCTCCAGCTGAAATGCACTTTATGTACACACACGTCTGGGCCACAGCTAGTATCAAATGCTTTCCAGTAGATAATTCCCAACAAATTCACTCCTGATTCTATGCAAACCATCCAAGAACCCTATTATGCACCTTCCCTACTTGTACTCCTTTATTGAAAATGTGACTGCATCAAACTTCCTTTCAGTGACATGGTGTAAATGAGCGGTCGGAGTTTCGGATGGTACACCTAGGGGCTACAGTTTGTTTATCATTATTTTTATGGCATCTGAACCATTATCTCATACAATATACTCAGAAATCTTTTTGTCTTCAGCTTGAGGACATGCAATCCAGGTGAAAAGGATCAGGAACATGCTTTCTAACGATGACTTCGTGTATTCTCAACAATTGAGCCTTAATTTTTCTTTCAAAGCGGCTTGAAATCTTGCGACTTTAAGCAGCAATCTATGATGCGGATTCCGAAAATCTTAGACATTACATAAAAGGCAGGTTTTCAAATATTTACATGACCAGAAAAATTGGCATTTTTCTCTTGCCTTTGATAATATGTGCCTAGCTGCTACAGTAGAGAATTTGGAGTATATTTCAGTTGCATGATTTGTCCTGCATATTTCACCATTTGGTGTGTCATCGATTTTACGGGACTGAAGCTATTTCTTATTACAGGCAGAGGCACTCGAATCCAATCAGCAGTGTTTCTGCACTAGAGGATGCGAATTAATAATCTTGGCAAATATGGGTTCCTGGCCATTCCAAATGTAGCCTTGGGAGAATTATTTGTACTGTGCTTTGCAGAGTCCCTAGAGAGTCGAGGCATGTGGAATAATTCATTTGTCCTAATATACTTGATTGGTAACCTGAATAAATAAATCGACTCATTATGTACTAATCTAGAACCGCGACAGTTTAGGATGGATGTCCAAGACCAAATCAAATACGCGATTTAGGATGAAAATTGCCTAATCTATACTACATTTCCTATATTCTACTTTATTCAAAGACATTTTTACTTATTTGTTGAAAAGTCTGTTTGTTTTAATTATAACCTCCTCGCTATATTCTACTCCTGAACAAGAAATTTTAATGTATTTGTGGTCTGGGCCAAAATCGCTCAGAACCTCTGGTTAACTCTTTGAACAAGGTCCGACCAACATGATGTGTCTTTCCAAACAACCGTTTCAAAATATCACATTCTTAACAACTGTAAGAAGATAATGAAAGCAATGCGCATCTGACTGTCGCTTCTCGAGTTTTTACTTTGCAACGATGAGTAAAGAAGAAAAGCCAATGGACGTCATCTACCATAGAAACAGCATACAATTAAAACTGCTTGGTGAACAGCTGGTCATTTGTTGGTTGACAAACGAATACTTTGTTTAGAAGACCTAGAGCCACATAACGATGCGTCATTGTCATTCCTTGTTTACTGGATAGTCTAACAATGTGTAATGATCTTCTTGTTGAGATTCGTCAGATTATATCTTGACAGGCTCCTGAGTAGATATGATTAGGTAGGTGTGATTACTAACACCTTTCTTTTTCTATATCAGAACACTAACTGTACACATGCACTTATGTAGGCTAGTGAAGACAAGTCACTAGTGAGATAACGAATGGGCAAGTAATCTCATGAACAGAGGAGATTAAAAAGAACTAAATTGTTAGGAGTTCTGTTGATTTACAGAATATAATAGTGAGGGTGCGGTGATTTTATGCACTAGTGGTATTCTGTTCGTTGTTTTTTATCACGGTTGCCTAAATAAGTAAGGAGTGAGTTCCTTTTCAACATAATTGCCCGAATCAGTTTGTATTGGGATTTCTTGGTCGAAAGGGAGGCCAGTTCCAGGTTACGAATATGAGTCGTAGATGTGGTTGACTTGGAAAAGTAACATCAATATCATTGATTAGTTACATCCTGCTATATGGTAAGGAGCAGCAAGCAAACGAAATGTTCTGTCCCACAGACATGGGTGGGTTGAAGTTATTGAGATACATTATATGCTTACAGCTATTACGAGTTCACTTTACTCGGAAAACGGAACGAAGATCAACGATACAGGCTATTCTAGTCCGATAGCCCAAGGCCGCACTAACTAGAGCAGGAAGTCTTGATAAAGCGTAGATAATGTATTCAGCAGGCAACCAGAAAGTACGAGGTCCACAATCACACAACTCACGTTTATTTATGCAAAGATAAAACGCTCTTGATGAGAGCCACAAAATAGTGTACTAAAATAATCAGTCAGATAATGACAGTCAAGGTTTTTACAAGTATGGAACGTAAGCTAAAACATAAAAATTTAAAATTTCAGAAATAAATTACAGATTCAGGACCTTTTCCAAGCGAGTTCTGGGGATCTAACGTCCTCGACAACACATCACCCTCCGTTCTCTATTGATGTTATGCTCTGTAACTTTTTCGGTATGTTTTGACAAATGTTTTTTGTTCTGAGCTCTATTTACAGCTCATCCTTTTGAAATTCAGTGTTCCAATTAGCTGCCTATTACAAGGCAACCAGACGGCCTTAATTGATTATTAATGGGTTATGTAGCCATGACGAACCCCACAGTGATATTAGGTGGACATATGTTATGAATGGTAAGATATGTGTCAATTACTTTGTTGTTTGGAGATGGGAATTATAGGCAAGTAATGAAAGGGTAAGAAGAGGAATAGTGTTAATATTTCCTGAGTAGAGCGATAACTAAGTAGGAAAGTAAGGTGTTGACATGGTATTAAATTACGGTTATAATGGTTTAATAAACTAGTGATTTATAATTTCGAAAGAACGCTCAATGGTAGTTTGAGTTTATTGTGATCAGTAGTTCCGTAATTTATCTGTTTATTAGCAATGAGAAATAAAAGTGCTGTGAAACATAAGAAAATAATGATGCGACTTTAAACATTAAAAAAGTCCGAATGTTGTGTGTTGGAGCACCAAGGTTTGAATAACTGCCTATTAGCAGAAGATTCCTAACCACAGATGCTCTGTTTCTGATTTAGTGATCTAAATTCCTTCACAAGTCTAAGCCATCGTTCCCTCTTTCAACCGTTTAACATCCCGGATTTGAACATTTGTCTTACTCGATCTATCTTCCCTTCACGTCAGGAAAGGTATTTCCGTGAATAATTTTGATAATTGAACCAGTATCAATTCCGTGCATTGCAGGTGTGTTAAAACGGATGTCTGTTAGTGTTGAAAACTTTATGGGGTGATTATTCTGACTCATTACTTTCGTTTGAGATCAGAAAAGAAACCCGTTCCTTACATTAGGATGAGTGATTTGACATGTGATGCGTCTGTATGCTGTTAATTTTTTCGTAACTAGGTGGCGTTTCCTAGCTCACTGTCAGGTCTCTTAAGATGATCAATATATTATACTACTATCGACTGGGAAGTTATGTAGTCACATTGCGTGTTCAGAAATCAGTGTAGATTTAAGTTCAGTAAACATCATAGAGCTGGAATCTTATGAGGCTTAAAGTTTATTTTCATCGGGTGTTCCGTAAGAGTTCTAAAAGCACTTGACCGATAACATATTCCTTGAGTTTAACAAAAGTATATACTTGTATGTAATTGTCCTGAGAGTCTGTAGCCAATGACATTAAGCCATTTACGTAGGCATATTTAGTGGTAGAACTGAAGTGATAATTTCATCGTAATTAGTCAGTCATACTAACAGTTAATCCTCCGGTCTAGGGTTGGAGTAATATGATTAGAAATGAGACGTCGTAAACGATCGTGAATCACAAAGACCATTGAAAATGTAGAAAAGCCGAGTGAGCAGAAACAAAGTTTAACCAAGTCTACAGGAGGTATGATACTTGCGGGCCGATTATTGTGAAGATCCGAATCTATAATCCATGAAGAAAATGTTAGTTTCATCAATATTCTCGTGAAAATTGATGGGTTGTGTCTTTGTGTAGTCCCACCACATACTAACTAGCGTGAGCTGTCATTTGAAATAAGCGTTGCTTTTAGATGCACGTCCACGAATCATGCACCTCACAGGATTCTAACCCACCACCCTCGTGACTGCGCCCGAACGCCTAACCTATCAGCCACTGGGCCGGCATTCACTGGCGTGAGTGTCTTACTCTTACCAACCTAGGGATTTTGCTCGACTTCACCCACTTGTCTTCGGTAGTTACTGCATGCACCAAACATGGTTGAACCTCACTGGTCACGTCGTTTCAATAGAACTCCGAGAATTTCCTCACAAAGCTAGTCATCAGAGTGTGGAAACCCTTATCTTCATAAATGTAATTAAAAAAACTTAAAGCAGTTAATCGGTTCGTTCTACTAAACAATTTTCTTTGCAGAAGATAAACATGTTTGCATGCATTGCATCAGACAGATTTAGTCAAGATGTGAACTTACAAGTTAAGACTTCTCTCCAGTGAAACAGCATTTAATCGAATATTAGGACTCTAACTTGGTCCAATTCTTGGAGAAAAGAGCGCACAATTTGCTGTGTGCGTTGCGTAATCACTTTCAATCATACTTACCATGCGGTATTATTTTGTGAAAATTTCAATTGAAACTTTTTGGCTTTAAAGCATATAAAACTGACATGTGTTTATATTAATGTTATGTGGAATGTTGAATAGATGACTGCCTTCTCGGATATAGAATAATAAGTTCAAGTGATCGCCGCATGTCACGATTCGTATGTATACTCTGAAGTGTATTCTACTGACAAAATCATCAAATCACAGATACTTAATAAAAAATCACAGCGCATGTTCGAAACACGAATATTAGTTATAGATCACCGTAATATCAGTTGGTAATATCTTTACATTAATGGCATATCATTTACCGTAATTATCTTAGCTTTGGACCGTTTTTTACTGATGAACGTAGTCAAAAAATATCCTTGACAATCTCAGTCTGGTCATTAATTGTGGGGACCACAAAATCTTGCTTGTATGCTATCACAAAAAGTTGGTAAGCGAATCTGTGATGAAACAGTTTAGCTAATCAACCTTATGTCTCCCTTTCTGTAACTAAAAAACTAACTAAGAAGCCTGAAATATTACTTATTTTTCTGTGCTCTAGCATGCTTGTTCTGGTCACATCGTTTCTGAACAACAGTTCAGTTAACTCTGACTATCGTCCTAACAATTACAGGCTACAGGTTTTGACTTAACTCCACTTCAGATTAAATAGTGGTGCTATTGCACTCCTATTAGTTTGGTAACATCACCCAGGATATCTTGTGTCTCGTATTTTTTGAGCACTTGACATGGCTTCTTCAAATGAGTCTCGAACATCTGGAAAATATACTAATGCGTACTTATATCAATAGACATCGCAGTGCATAACTGTTTTAGATCATAATTTTTACCTTTTCGGGTTATCACTGACTGGTCACAGCCACACATTATAGCTTTTTTGGTTACCAGATCTGAGTATGACATCATTATTATGAGTATCCTAAATCAACATTCTCATTTCACGTATGACTGAAGTCGCTACTTGGTATTGAATTAGTTTAGGGGTTAAGTATACTTTAGTCGTTAAGTAAATTGCTCATAATATTCAAATATTTTTTGACGTTTATCATAAATGCTCATGATTTATCTGATCCGATTTTGTCTGACAACATGTCAGAGGACCAATCCTTAAGTGCTTCACATTACTAGCTGCCTGTATCAGAGAAAGTACACTTTTCATATCCAGGTTTATACAATATAATTTCGGTTGCACAATAGTGCATTCGATTTCACCTTAAATTCCATACTTCCCTGCAAGTCGAAGTTAAAACTTATCGACATCTCCGCCTGTATATCCTCTAGGGATACTGCCGATCCCAAGCCCGGATAAAGATGGAGGACTGGTGTAACAAAACGCTAACTCTGCTCTTGGAGTTAGAACGTCTTCATTTAGACGAGTTATGACGTCTGATGATGAAAGCCGAGTTCTTTCGGAAATCACGAGGCCGATACCCCTTCTGCCAACCAGAACCCTTCCACGATGTGGGCATCCGGGAAGTAAGATCTGCCTTCAAACCAATAAAAGCACAAGAGAACGAATTGGTCACAATAAAATCCTTTCTACACCTCCTAATAACTCTCTTATCTGCACGATTAACCCTTCTTTCGATCGTTAATCACCTCACGCCGCTGAAGCAAACGGTATGAGCTCACGAAACATTATTCCTGGTCGTTTGAAAGCCCGTGCTAAATTACATATATGAGCTTTTAATGTTCGGACCCTATGTCAAATAGGGCAACAGGCTTCATTATCCAGAAGTCCGGAATCCCGGGCGATCGATTTATGTTGCGTCCCCGAAACGCGCATACAAGATCCGAGTAAAATCATCAATTTGTTTTCACCTTGTGCAGACAGAGACATAACACTACGCTTCGTTATTCAGGTAGCCGTGATGCTGCCTCATGTGGCCTCGCTGGTGTAAGTAAAGTATTAAGATAGACAGACAGACAGATACAACGCAGAACTTCGTACATAAGTACATCAGTTCAGGTTGCCATACCACATCAGCACAGAGACGTAACTGTCAGTTCAAATCCAAGAGTGATAGTGATAGTAGAAGTATTAGCAGTAATGGAGAAGATTAGGGAGCGAAGATATGATTCGATAAGTATAGTTCAGTGAGATAAATTTAAAATGAGAAAGATAGAGATTACGAGGAATTCAGAAGGTTAGAGTTTGAGAGAACACAAGGAGTGGATGCGCCTGTGCCATTGCAAACGATTTCGAGCCATGTTATTCAAGGTCTCTGGCCATCGGTGACTTTCGTCTCGCCGACTCCAACCACGTCGCCTACATCCACCAACATGAAACAGTCCACTTGTCAATGACTTCATGGATTTGTGCCATGTTTTGGTTTGGCCGCCCCTAACTTTCTTCCAACCTACTCCTACACTGCAAAACATGGCTCGTCACGGCAGTCGGTGTTTAGGCACACGTAACACATGTCCCAACCACCTCAACTGATGAAGTTTCACCACTTCATCTATTGATTTGCCATCCTTACCTAGAACTCGTCATCATCACTGTTGAGACTTCCCAGATACGTGAAGCGGTTTACGCGCTCAACATCTTCACTACCTATCACTAGTTCCGATGAAGTAACAAGCCAACCTTGAAGCGACATTTTGCATTTCGAAGGGGAAAACTGCATCACGAACATGCTTGCAATGTTGCTTAGGGTGGTCAGAAGACTGCATTTTGTCAGCGTCTTCACCAGATAGAACTATATCATCGGCATATTCTAGATCAGTAAGCGGCTTTCCTGGTAGAAGGTCAACCCCTGAAAAATCTGACGAGCTTAATGTTAACTCTAACAGGATGTCTACGACAAAGTTAAACAAGAATGGAGAGAGTGGACAGCCCTGACGGACACCACTTGATGTAGAGAATTCAGATGACAGTTCGCCATATGCTCTCACCCGACCAGTGGTGTTCGAGTAGAGTGCTTGTATAAGGTTAATGTACTTCTTTGGTACACCTTTCAATGACAGACACTGCCACAGAACCTCACGATCCACTGAGTCGAATGCCGCCTTAAGGTCCAGGAACACGACTATCGTCGGACGTCTAAATGTGTGTCTGTGTTCCAGGACCTGTCGTAGTGTGAAGATGTGGTCTATACAACCACGTCCAGGTCGAAAACCAGACTGGTTTTCTCGAGTTTGCTCTTCACGAGCTCTAGTTAGACGTCTAAGTATAATCGAGGCTAACAATTTAGAAACTATATTAGTTAGACTGATTCCCCTGTGATTGTCACAAGAAGACTTTTGTCCTTTCTTATAAATTGGGACAATCAAGGATTGGGACCAGTCAGATGGGATTACGTCCAGTTTCCAGACTCTACCTACGATCTCGGTCAATCTAGCTACTGAAACTGGACCACCATCCTTAAAAATCTCAGGGGTCAATCTATCTGGTCCTGCTGCTCTCTCTCGCTTTAGATTTCTTATAGCCTTTTCAACTGCATAAAGCCTCGCACGGCTTACATCCACTTTCTCCATTCTTGTTTAATTTTATCATAGACATGATTCTAGATATACCATTATCTTCGTCTGACTTTTCAGGAGTCGACGTTCTACCAGGAAGATATCTGGTTGACTTAGAATATGCCGATGATATAGTTCTATTTGGTGAAGACGCTGACAAAATGCAGTCTTCTGACCACCCTAAGCAACATTGCAAGCATGTTCGGGATGCGATTCTCCTCTTCATAATGGAAAATGTTTCTTCAGGATTGTCTTGTATCGGCACCTTGTGCGGGTCCACGAAACGATAGTAACCGATGGTGTACATTATTTTGTGATATACAATTCATTAGTTCATATCTCGTTTATTTCATTTTAATTGTTCATCTACTAAATAAAAATTAATCTGAATATAATTGGACGTTAACTTTAGTGACATTTAGCAGGTATCACTATTAGTTTAGGACCATGTATCAGATATAATCTGTCCTAAATTTCTAAATGTCTCTAATATATGGTATTTAACTTATTGTCATCCTTTGGTCAGTTACTGAGCTGTAAAATTTGATGAGTCACATAAAATCCCCTCAATGGTCTAAGATGTTCCTTCCATCGCATTTTAAAATTCCAAGGGTAGATTTAACATTTTGACATAGCTTTAAACTAGCAGTCGCTTTAAAAGAAAATACTGTGAAAGCACGAAATCAATATTCACATTGTCACCTATTTTGTTCTGGTATCTTTTGTTTTTTGTTTAGTTGATCTCTCAATATGGAATCTGTCGATGTTCACTGTTCTGCCTTGTGCATAGCCAAAAATCGGCACCTGTCACTTGCTACATCTACAAATGTTTCAAATCCGTTTCGTTTTGTAGTTATTGCTGACCCACAACTTGGTTTACTTGAACAGTATGTGGAAAAACGTCCACGACCCCACCACTGGGATAGAGAAGTAAAGCTTGTAAGTAGGGCAGTAAATATTATAAATCGTCTCTGTCCAAAGCCAGCATTTGTTGTTATTTGTGGGGATCTTGTTAACGATCAACCCGGTGGTCCTGATAGATGTAAACAAACATCTGATTTGCTGAATGTGCTGTCTCATCTCAACAGTGATATTCCTCTTATTGTGCTTCCAGGGAACCATGATGTTGGAGATTGTCCTGATGCGAGTAGCGTACAAGACTATACTAGTGTGTGGGGTGATGATTACTTTACTTTCATATTCAACCGCACAAGATTCATTGTACTTAATACTCAATACCTAATGAACAATTCAAAATGCGCATCTTCGGCCGATGAATTCCGTCAGTGGTTCAATGACCAACTCTCTGCAAAAAATGAAGATTTTGACATGTCAGTTGTATTCCAGGTAAAATAAATTTTACTTCAAAATATCTGATAATTAATAAATGTTGAGATCATACTTTGTAAATACTTTATTGTTCTATAATATTCCTTATTTTCTAGAACATTCTGTCTTTCATGTCTCCGTTATTCATCATAATCTTGTCACAATTTATATGTCAAAGCTCAACCTGATTTTATAGCTTATGGATTAAGTTTTGATATTGTAACTCAACGCATCTTAGAATAGTGCATACATACAAATATCACTCGTTTTTGATCAGTGTTTACTACAAAAGTTTACAACTGACTAGGGTAATAGCACTAAAAAAATTACAATATGAGTAAATTAAGACGTTGCACCAATTCGTTGTGTTTTTCACTTTAATTCTTTTAGGCTGATTTGAGTTGTTTTTGCCATGTGTATCACATACAATGTCGATTGGGAATATCGAATATCTATAACACGAAACTCCGATTACAATAGACAACTAAGGAAGTGAAAGAGGGAAATCATACAGAATATCGAACAATAAAGTTTCGAAGAGTATAACAGATAAGAATTACAGCGAGGATAAATGTTAATTCACTGTAAATGTTATAAGTTGTAGATACGATTCAAGTGGTTATAATGACTTCATTGACTCATTTTCTGACTGTCCATATACACCTAATGCATTGTATTTATTATCCTTACACCTTTTAATATTGTTGTGATAAGTTATATTCTTTTGATTTTCATTTTATAAATGTTCGTTCCCAGTGCAACAATATGCATTTTTTTTAGCGATTTCATACTTTATGAATGAATGAACCATTGTTTTATAAGCATAAAATCTCAACTAACCTAACAGATTATTTTTGTGTAAATTTCCCTAGTCAACTTTACCGTCTTATTCGTAAAAATATTGTTTTCAAGGTATAGTACTTAGAGTTAGGATTTGTCAACTATAAAACTATAAACTCAAACAATAAATCATTGCTTAAAGTCACGCCTTACCTAACACAACTTTGGGGTATTAAGTATTTCCATTGACTACTCTTAAATCGAAAGTCTTCAACCCTTCTAGTTTTGACTTTCTAAACTTTTATCATTGAATCATACTTCTTGAATAATATCTTCTAATCCTAACCTCTCCGATTACTTCTAATTCCCTTACTACCTCTTCTACTATTGGATTTGAATTGACGATTACTTCTCTGTGCTGATGTGGTATGGCAACATGAACTGATGTACTTATGTACAAAGTTCTACGTTGCATCTGACTGACTGAAATTGAAAGTGTGGCTGATAGCCCAGTATACAAACTTGATAAATGAATTTTGTTGGACAGAATGTATATTATATCTAAGTCACTTCATCTTTATTATTTCATATACACTATCATTCAAACACTACCACCTCTTTCTTTTCTACATAATTCATCTAGTCATCAAATCTGTAATATGTTTTAGTATATGAAAAATTTCTGTTTACAAGCTGATTCCCTCGGTCAATCAACTAGTCACGGCCAATGATAATAATAATGATAATCAAAGTTTAGTTAATCTAGTTTATGACTTTTGTCATTCAACTTTTATTGTTAATATTGTGTTGCTCTCTCCCTCTCCTCCTCTCATTCGTTATTTTTTTTTTAGCATGTTCCATTTTTCTTAGAAGATATAAATGAATCAGATCATTATTTCAATGTACCAAAAGATTATCGTAAAGAATTTGTCAATCAACTTTATCAACATAAAATTTATTATGCTTTCTCTGGCCACTTGCATAAAAACAACATAGCCATTTTCAATCCATCAATAAGAATCGATCAAAATAACCATAGCACCAACACCAACGCCAACAACAACAGCAGCACCAGTACTGAACAATCATTTTCAATGATCAGTTCATCATCTGTTTGTGTTCAATTAGGTAATGATCAACCAGGAATTCGTCTTGTTCAAATCAATCACAATAATAATAATGATATTCCTGATCAAAAAGATTGTTTAAAACATGCCTATTGGACATTGGATGAATTGGAGGAAATTTTAAATTCGAATAAACAACCTCAAATGTAATAGTACTTAGACATTAGATGATTATTGCACAACCTTTTTTTTCTTCCGCCCTATCAATGTGTAATTTCATGATATTTTGGTTTTTATGTCAAATGTTGATAATGTTGGGAGAAGTGCATTTGTTTTTTAAAAAAAAATATAAAAAATCAAAGGACTTTAATAAAAATTGTTTGTTGTTTCTTGATTTTTCCCTCATCTGTTAATCATATGTGTTTATGTTTGTGATTTAAATTTTCTAAGGTTTATTTTCATTTTATTATTGTGTTATTTAACTTTTTTTCACTCATGGTTCATTATTATTATTATTATTATTATTATTATTATTATTATTATTATTATTATTATTACTATTATTATTACTTCCGTATAGATTTAAGGTTTCAATAATTTGTTTGAAAGTTTCTTCTAAACGTATATAAATACGTTTGATCAATAGAGAAATTTGAAATTGAGTGCTTTTAAATTCTTATTTCAAAAGGTACATATAAAGTTCTAAGGTTGTTTCATGACCAAATCAATATTGATGATTACATTGAAGTAAAAGTCATAAGAACATTGTATCCCAATTTTTAGAGTATCATTGAATTTCTGGCACTAAGTATCACACTCACTATAATATATTTATTTATTTAGTGTTCTCTCAAATCCTAACCGTCGGAGTTCCTCATCACTTTATGTTTTCCGTTTTAAGTTTATTTCACTAGGTTCTACCTCTTGAATAATATCTCCTAACCCTAATCTCTCCGATTACTGCTTAATACCTTTACTACCTCTACTTACTACTATGGGGTTTGAATTGACAATTACATCTCTTTGCTGATGTGGTATGGCAACTTAAACTGATGTACGTACGTACGTACGATGTTCTACGTTGCTATTGATTGATTGATAGTTCACTCAGTTTTAATGCATCCTTTCTGTCTATGAATACTTATCATTCATTCATAAATCAAATTCGATAGAATAAAACTAGAATAACAAAATCTAACAATTCACATTTCAATACTTTAACATTCAAATCATTATTCCATAAAATTATATTTTCAATAGTTCCAGTGTCATTTCATATTTCATTATTTACGCAAAGTTTTTCATGCTAATTAGTTGAAACAAACATTTTGGAAAATTTTCATCAGCTCAATCCTATAGTTTATAATCAACGCAGAATAGAGTCATTATTTAATCAGTTTCCAGGTTTTAAACTAATTAATCTATAGAAATTTAGTTTAAGCATTGATTTCAATTCATAGATTGATCAGTCAAGACGATCTAATTTTCATTCAGACAGAGTAATAGTTTTGCATTGATGACCACACTGATGATACATAGATTTAAAATATTTAATAATCCAGCAGGTAGTTGTATCACAGGTGATTCTGGGAATAATGTCTATTGATTTACTGAGTAATTGAACGAAGCAAGACAAGACAAACATCTTATAGCTTATCGAAGTGATTAATTCTATGAGAAGAAAAAAATTGAAAACATGTTAGATTAGATATGTCATAAAGGAATTCGTGAAAAGCAAGTTTTGTGGCACTTGAAGCAGAAAATGAGACTGAGGATGAGTTCGTCACTCTTGTATTATAACATATGTCACTGGCCTATGTTAAGAATTATGCAAACTTATTTTAAGTACATAGGTTAAGTTTCTGAATGTGGTGGATTCTGTTAGGTGTATAGTGTGCAAAAGATGAATCGGTAGACTAATGCAGTATGTTAATTAACTTGATGAGCTTCATTCCAAACAATTACGCAAACCAGGAGAGAACCCTTAATCTGCTCAAAAAATTGTTTGCTCAGTCAAGCCAGATAGTGTTCAGTGTTACGATAAAGTAAAATCCATTTTTAATTCAACAATCAATCCTATCAATAATTTGATGGTACGGTTATAGGATGAACAATGAATTACTACTCTTCTGTTTGAAGCTTTTCTTGTAAAATTAACGAATTATTAGCTAACAATTAATTGTCTTTTTTAAAAATGAACTATTTCATTGTATCGAGAATAATTTATTTTACTTGATGTACAATATGTGATGTCTACCAATTACACTTTAATTTTGCTGAAGAACATGAGTTGTAAGAATAGAATACTACTGATCACTAATCGATGTAAATAACCAAAGGATTGTTAAAAGTGGTTAAGAGTTCTATTCTTCATCATTTGCTTAATCAAGTTGACTAGACGCAAAACTTTCAAGTTATCCATCATATTTTATCAAATAATCTGATCTTACTTTGTTTATTACTGTATCACACATATGTGACACACTGTATGTTGGTTATGGACTGATTTGGTGAGTAAATTAGTCGAAATCCATTTCTTCATATAGTCATAGATAAGATGGAGCAGTTTTGAGATATTGTTTCACTACATCTGATAGTCATGAGATGTATCTCACCAGTTGTAATATAACCATCTTGTAAATTTGATCCATAAAAGTGTACATTTTTTCCCGTATGCTTTAATTCAGATATTGAATACTTTTTATTTGAGTTTAACTAATTATTGTAGCCAGTTTGAATAAACAATGTGCTGTTATATGTAATATGTGTAGTTTATTCATCCTAACCAGATTTCATTGGTCAAAAGTTTCGCAAGATTTCAAATATCCAGTTTAAATGGATAAACTCGTTATCTTTCTGATATTAAATTTGTCAATCTCTATTCTTATACAGCATTTAACTGTAGAGAGATATCTTTCTGTTACAGTTAAGCAATATGTGATTTACAGTAAGATCAAGTATACATCTATTGCGTTTCAAAACTATTCGTTTTCATACTAAGGATTATCATGTTATTGTGTAGTTGAGGGTAATTTTCATTACAGTCTCATTTCAACCGGATGAACGAATAAAAATGAAGAAACAGTGTCGTAACTTTTTCGTCCCACCACTGGTATTAATTCATGAACTATCGAACCTAATATGTAGGGTAAATTTTTCGAAGATCATTTTCTCATTTCTCTGAGGGTCAACCATTAATTTTAGTCTACTTTGTACGTACTTCAATCCAAATAGTGATTGTTTTTCCTCGTTTTCTGTTGATGCTCTTGACAGATTCACTTTGAATAATTGTTAATATACGAGGAAAGTAAACACCTTAGATTTCAAACATTGTCATGAAATAAAAACGAGTGTATCAAACTGTACATCTATTGATTTATTCAAACATAATATTTCAGCTAATTTTAAAATTATTCTATTCTCTATTTTTTTTCTAATTTATTCATTAGGTTCGTTTGTTTTTTTCCTTTCGTAAAAACAAAATTATATCTATTTTAACAAATTAAATTCATAAGCAATCTGCAACAATGATCAAGTGGACAAAATTTCTATTCACTTATAATGTTTCTTATTTAATGAAAAATCGTATCACAAATAATTCATCAACAATATTATTTGGTAAATTTATTCAATGCTATTCAACTTCTAGTAGTATTAAAATAAATCCTACTACTATTACTACTACTACTACTAATACCATTAACAGTAGTATAAATCAGAGGAATTTATCAATGACAAATAATTTATTTCAATTATCATCAATCAAACCGAAAGATCATCAAACCAATTTAGGTTTGGGACTTTTTCATCCGAAAAAGAAACGTGCAGATAAAGTGAGTGGAATTTTTGTGATAAAAATTGACAAATTTAATCAGTCAGTCAGTCAGTTACAACGTAGAACTTCGTACATCAGTACATAAGTTTAGGTTGCTATAGCCCATCAGCACACAGACGCAACTGTCAGTTTAAATTCTATAGTGATAGAGATAGTAGAAGTATTAACATTAATGCAGAAGATTAGGGAGCGAAGATATGATTCGAGACGTATAATTCAGTGAAATAAGCTGAAAAAGAGAAAGATAGAGATTATCAGGAATTCAGAAGGTTAGAGTTTGAAAGAACACAAAGAGCGCATGTACCTGCACCATTGCAAACGATTTTGAACCATGAAGTTCAAGGTCTCTAACCATTGGTGACTATCGTCTTGCGGACCCCAATCAGGTAGTCTACGTCTACCAACCTGACACAGTCCAATGTCAGTGACTTCATGGATTTGTGACATGTTTTGGTTTGGCCGTCCCTAGCTTTCTTCCAACCTACTCCTGCACCACAAAACATAGCTCGTCGCGGCAGTTGGTGGTTGGGCATTCGTATCACATGTCTCAACCACCTCAACTGATGAAGTTTCAATACTTCATCTATTGATCTGCCATCCTTACCTAATACTCGTTTCCTAACTATAGTATTGCTTACTCGGTTGTCTCAGGATATGCCAACTATGCTTCGAAGACATCTATAATCGAATACTGATAACCTACGAACATCAACTTCTCTCACCAGCCATGTTTCGCATCCAAATTTAATACTCAACAGAATATTCATTTTGATCAGTGATCTAAAACATACTTTTGAAATCAATGAATTCAAACATACGTACCTAATATGTTTGTTTATGCAGAAGTAAAAAGCTTTCTAAATAATGTTATTCATTCAATAATCTACTCTTTGTAAGTGAATTCAACATGGTGATCAAACCATATTTTATTCTGTTTTTCTTTTCACTATAAAACATTCAACATTCATCTTCATGATTGTTTGTAATGTTATTCTATTTTTTCATCTCGTGACACAAATTTTTTTATTGAAAGTTTAGATTATTCAGTATATATATTATGGTTATCAGCGTTCTATGAAAAAATTAATTTTCTACGATAATCATTAAACAAAAGTGACTTTCTTAATCATTGTTTTGTTTTTTGGTTTACGTTTAAATCGGTGATCGACTCTATTAAAGAATTTTATATGTTGATACAATTCAGATTCTGTGTTGTCATATTGTAGTGAAGGAGAACACAGGTGAGGGCAACCGAATAGGTAAAATAGAAAAACCATATCGTAAATCGTTAATTTGCAAAATATCAATCCATCATACCAAACTGGACTGTTCTTGTTGCAAAACGTCAATCCATTGTCTGACATTTCACTGTTCATGCGTTTCATACAAATCCCATTGTGTTCTAACTCTTCCTTTCTTGATCTTCCCCCCATCTTCTGCTGCCAGACATTACGTTTTTGCTCGCGTCACATACTACTTATAAGTAGCGCGCACCACAATATTACGTTTAGTAATATATATATATATATATATATATATATATATATATATATATATTAAGCACTGGATCTGTTTATAATATCATAATAGTTTCAGCATACATAAAGTCAACTATATTAATGCAAATTTTATCTAACCATTTTCTTATACTTACTCTTATTTTGTTTAAACTAAATAAATTTTTTCTTTTTTTTGTATTTGCAGGAAGTTGCTGATTTAAAACAATCTGGATTTTTCGACATCTCCGGTTATGGTTTTGCACAATACACTAATTTGAAAATGCTTCATTCTTATCTTATCAGTTTTGATAATTTGTATAAATTTTCTACATTACCATCGGAATTATCATCGGAAGTATTGTTAATTTCACAATCGCCTAAAAATAATGTGGAAAATATTCATCCATGGGATGCATTTATTTTCAAGTAGGTGTGTCTATTATGTGTCTGTATTTATGTTTGCCATATACGCATGGTTATACTAACCGTTTATTGTATGGTAATAATTAATCTCACTATTGTCTAACTGATCCGTTTAATGTGTGGTGTTGCGAAACATCCCCCGACCGTAGCTGCTACCTTGACGTGTATAGAAGATCCGAGCAGTGTTGTTCATTTGACCTTACCATATCAAAATAAAGAACCAAATTGATTTACTCTTGGTGTATCTGGAAGCCCCGTTGCTTCTTCCTGTGGCCTCGTTGGTGTAAGTAAAATATCAAGTCCCCAGGCAGAACTAGCTCTCTTAGACTGGATCCCGGTAAACAGTCGGTTGTGCACTGTCCTACTAAACGGGGCATTAAAGACTTGGAAAGATAGGGACACTCTCCGTTGTCTCTTTGTCGTCTCTGCCTACGCTCCCACTCAGACTAGGTAAAAGATGAGTTTTACAGAAAGCCTTCTAACCTTCAAAATGTTATGCTTTTTGATATATTAATGGTGGCTGGTGACTTTAATGGTCAAGTAGGTTGTTATGCTCGTCAATTGATATGCTTGAACTATTACAATTTCACCTTAATCGGTAAGCGAGAGCGAAGAAAAATGATCCAGTGACACGATATGGTACTCTAATCTGAGTGTCCCAATGCCCCACTAAGTAGAGGGAGAAGTCTTGATATGGCGTAGAAAATGTATACTACAAGCACCCGGAAAATCGAGGCTGAAAAGTACACAAATCAAGTTTATTTATACATTGTAAAAACGTCTTTGGGAAAGCCACAAAAATTGCGTGCTAAAATAATACATCAACCAATGACAGTCAAGGATTTTTCGGGTAGGAAATGTAATCTCAAGGTCAGCTGATCAACCCATGAGCTAGAACATGAAATCCAAAATTAGGACCTTTATCAAGTGAGTTCTGGGGATCTAACGTTTCGAACATAGGTAGAGTGAGAGAAATGGAAAGACACGTGGGTGGATCTTATGGTGTCGTGGCTGATCGAACAGATAATGGTGGCCGTCTACTGCAGCTATGCTCATATAACCGCCTATTTCTGAAAAATACTAACTCCAAGCACAAGACAAAACATCTTTTGACATGGTGACCCCCAAAGTCGTCACAACAATGGACCAAACTAGACAAAATCGCTATCAGCCACTGATGGAGGGGCTCAATAGTAGACTGCCGCTAGTTCTGGAACAAATGTTCAGATTTAGTTCATGCCTTAGTACGAGCGCGTATTTACTGGACGTGGGAAAGACACTGCAAAGAAGCTTTTTAGGGTTCTACATATCGATAGGAAAGCTAAGACTATATTTCAGTAACAACTAGAAAAACAGTTAGGCTGCCATGTATTATGTGATGCCCACCACCGAGATATCTCGGAATGATATCCATAAAGCTGTGGAAAAAGCAGTGATATCTGCTAGCAAGGTAAACCACAAGGTTGGTGAGAAGCGGTGGATTTCAGTAGCATCTGCCGAAATGATCGACGCTCGGAAACTCATCTCGCCTGGCCCTTAACATTACGAAGAGTTCAATCACCGTAAGCATAGACAGATAAAGGGCTTACACAATGATCGCGAGTATTGGTGGGTAGCGAAAGTAAGAAATATGGAAAAGCAGTGATGATAGGTCACAGTAGAAAACTGTCCCGACTTATGAAGGAAACTGGTGCTGGGAATTCAACTTGTAGCGAAGCTATCTCGGAAAAGGATGGGCTTATTATTCATTCTCAATCCAGGAGATTAGATCAGTGAGCAGAACACTTTAGGGATCAGTTCAACTAGCCTTCAGTCACACTTTGGTTGCCCACGATCTCCAGTCAACCTGAATGGCGAATTAATGTAAGTCCTACGACTCTTAGTGAAATCGCAAAAGGTATGAGAAGTCTGAAGCGAGAGAGAGGAGCATGCTCTGACAAGCTTGCCTCTGAGATTCAGTTAGATTGACCGAGATCTTAAGTATAATTTTGGAACTGGACGTAATCCCATCTGGCTGGTCTCAATCACTGATTGTCCCAGTGTATGAGGAAGGACAAAAGTCCTCTTGTGACAATCATAGATAAATCAGTTTGTTAGCGGTACATAGATGGAATAAAGCATGACTGTGTTAGCCGCGCACTGATTGGGTAATTCCCATCCAATTAGCGCCTGGTCGATGCTTGAAGAGCATAAGGGAAAATTCTCATGTTGTTAGCTGCACGGTGATTGGCTAAATCTAATCCGATCAGCGCTAGTTGATCACGTGGAGTGCATTCCAGAAGCTTCTCATGAAAAACTATAAAGATACTAACCTTGTTCTTATTTGGCCTTCGCTTCGGCTTCTTACTTCCATTTAACCTTGCTATTTGGAATAGAATCTTTTCCTGTTCCACCGTGTTCTGATTGTTGTCAGAGAATACTAAGCAATAGGAATAGCTGGGAGATACTAAGAGAGATTTATAACACAGTTTAAGTAATATGGTGTCGAAATCGCTAGCCTCGATAATACTTGGATGCCTAAATAGAGGTCGTGAAGAGCGAATTCGGTAAAACCAGGCTGGTTTGAGACCTGGACGTAGATGTATAGACCAAATATTCACTCTTCGTCTACTCCGGGAACATAGACACACGTCTAGGTGTCTCACTATAGTTGTATTCTTCGACTTTAAGGCGGAATTCTACTCTAATGATCGTGAGGTTCTGTGGCAGTGTCTGTCATTGAAAGGCGTACCAAAGAAGTACATTAACTTTATACAACCTCTCTACTCGAACACCACTGGTCGAGTGAGAGCTTATGGCGAACTGTCATCGAAATTGTTTACTTCAATTGGTGTCCATCAGGAATGTCCACTTCCTCCATTTTTGTTTAACTTTGTCACTGACTTGCTTTCCGACACGACACTCTCATCGTCTGACTTTTTAAGAGTTAAACTTTTACCAGGAGATTCGCTTGTGCCGATAACTTAGTTCTAGTTGATTAAAACTCTAAAGAGATACAGAGTCTTCTGACTACCTTAAGCAACGATGCAAACTTACTATATGGCTGTGAAACTTGGCCAGTCAGAGTAGAAGATATTCGTAGGTTGCTGGTTTTCGATCGTAGGTGTCTCCAAAGCATTGCTCATTTATCCTGGGTCTATCGTGTAAGCAATGCTGTTGTTAGGAGACGGGTACTTGGTAAAGATGGCAGATCGATAGATGAAGTATTGAAACTTCATCAGTTGAGGTGGTTGAGACATATGATACGAATGCCCGACCACCGACTGCGGTGACGAGGTATGTTTTGTGGTGTAGGAGTAGGTTGGAAGAAAGGTAGGGGCGGCCAAACCAAAACATGCCATAGAATCAAAGTTCAGGATAACTGTCCACTTTGTAAAAGAAGAAAAGACAATTGTAATATTTAGCACTAATAACTTGTAATGATCCAAAAGAGTGCTAAAACTGTGAGAGGTTAAGTAAGCTCTTGAACATGCATCTTCTGCACATAAAAGTAGTGTGTGTAATGATTCATTGTTATAACCTCTATTGTGCATGATCACCTCATCCGAAACTTTTTTGCGCAGGTTCTTTCCATTTAGTAAAGGATTCGAAAAACGGTTTACTCAATGGATTGAGACCCGAATTCATTACATGTTCATGGACTGAGCTGCTGATTGATCTAGAGTGGAACGCGATATAACACAATTTATCATATGAGTTATTAAGTATATCTTTTAGTTTTCAATTCAAGAAAAATATTATTCATCTGTTATATCTCCAACTTTTTTCTGCTTTCAGTAATGGAGTAGCTGTGTTTTGGAATGTGCCTGAGGAAAATGTATGTTTACCAGAGTTTTGTTTTGATGGTTTTATTGTCGCCTTCTTCGTAAGACTCATTTATTCAGCGTTTATTCTTATATTTCCTTTCTGTTTATCTGAAGTTCCCTAATTCTGGTATCAACTTTAACATCCAGTTGCCTAATAATTATTGAATTCTCAACTTATATTTTGTTTATTTACGATCCCCATTGTGAAAACTAGAATAACACAGATAATAAGCGAACAATTTTGTTAATTTCAATTATATCGTCATCAAGCTTTACTCTAATGTACATGAATATTTATCTGAAAATGCTAAACTAATCAAGGTAATTGGAGTCAATAATCACAATGAAATAGATTACGTAAATATACATAATAGGCAAAAGTACAAATTGATAATAGGAAGATAGGTGTACTGATAGTAGTAAGAACAATAAGCTAAAATATGATAACAAGAGTTTTTGTTAATAGTTCAACATTGGAAATAGTAGGTCAAACTTGGATAAATAGACTTAAAAAAAAATCATTATAAAAACATTAAAACTACTACTTAATAAAAGAAGTGTATAAATAATTAGGTTGTGAACAATACAAAAGGAAAGAGGCAGAAAAAAGTTCAAACAGATACAGGATGTGAAAATAATGCTAACAATAAAAAATTTTTTAATCCGCTTATTACGTTATATCCAGCCACGGAAGGGATAAGGGTGTCACAAATTTTTTCTAAATACATAAATCGGGTTTGAATGTACGAATTCTTATGGCTTCTGCTATATGTAGGAGACGGGATCGAACTCCGTTGGGAAATGATGGAAATGATGATCACTCAAAATGATTTAGATTCATCTATATTATGACCAATATCAATCAGATGTGCCAAGATGGAAATGTGTATTGCTTTTATTTGGCTCTTTTTAAGCCATGCTGCGAGATGTCCACTTATTCGTTGATTAGGTTGCCTCGTAGTACGCCCGATACAGCTATCTGTACAGGAGAAGCTGAATTTGTAAATGTACATTGAGGAGGCCAGTTCAGGTAATATATCCTTCGTTTCAGTAGACATTGCTGGTCGACTCGAGAAAGTTAACGCAAGATTAGTTGCATAGAACGTTCTACTAATTACTTACATTACTCCATCATGCAAGACATCGCTAATAACATCCCGGTTGAATTTTAGTTTAATGAATATAGGCTTCTTTCGAATGGTTGGTATACATGTACTTCTTTAAGAACGTGCTGAGGTAGCCATTTGTAGTTAGTAAGTTGTTGATAAATTCCAGCTCCTGACATTAGGTATCTTATAAACAGATCATTTTTGTTCTGCTTGTGAGACATCTAACCAAATTTCTTTTGTAACGGATAGGTGTAAAACTATACAAATGAGTATACTGGCAACCAGCTAACTAACTATCATAGGTCACGTAATGCGCATTCGTCAATCAATATCAAGTAATCATCCAGTTAGTTTGCGGTGGATGCTACTCACAAAGAAACATATAAGTAGTATGTATCGTGGCATTATCGAAAGGTTGATACAAGAGACAAAAATGGACCGATCGAAGTGCGTGGCATCTTCAGTTTGGTTTGAAAACTAGAAGAAATGTAGAAGAAAACACTCAATTATCTACTCGTTTTGCAAATTGATTATTCGAGAAAATGAGTACATATCTTTAGAGCAAACGATGTCTCTAAACAGATTATATTCCATCTAATCCGGACTTCTCTAGACTTAATGATTTGGCTTTTCTGTTGCACACGTAACAACAAATGCAGGAGAAGACAACCAGTGTAGCAACAGCAGGTCTCAGCGTACATAAAGGAAAAAGCAAGGTTCTCCGAAACGACACAACATACGCCAACCAAATCACTCCTGATCGAGATGCCTTGGAGGACGTAAAAACCACTGCATATCTGGGAAGCATCATTGACGAGCAAGGTGGATCTGAAGTAGATGTGAAGGCGCGGATCGGCAAAGCAAGGGCTGTGTTTCTACAATTGAACAACATCTGGAATTCCAAACAACTATCAACAAACACCAAAGTCATCAATTTTCAATCAAAATGCCAAGGACAATTCTACTGTATGGGTGGAAACTTGGAAAACTACCAAAGTCATCATCCAGAAGAATCAAGTATTTATTAACCATTGTCTACTCAAAGTACTTCGGATTCGTTGACCAGACACCATCAGCAACAAGCTACTGTGGCAGAGACCTAACCAGATTCCAGTGGAGGAGGAAATCAGGAAGAAGCGGTGGAAGTGGATAGGACACACATTGCGGAAAGCACCCAACTGCATCACATGACAAGCCCTCATTTGGAGTCCTCAAGGACGAAGGAAAAAAGGAAGGCCAAGGAACACATTACGCCGAGAAATAGAGGAAGACATGAGGAGAATGAACAAAAATTAGACAGAACAGGATATGCCATTAAGTAGGTACTAAGCAAGTACAAACCTAAAATTGATAACTTTTTATCAATTTTTCCTAATTGTCAAGTAGTATGTTGAAAGTGTTGCATTATGAAGCTAACTCAATGATTACTTAATAAATTTTTCCGATAAAATTCCATTTTAACCCAAAAATATGACAATATTCAATAACTTTTAAGTCTCATCTTTCAGACGAGTTTAAATATATATATATATATATATCCCAATGTATTTATTCTTTACTAAATATTTAGCATCAGTTATTGTTAAAAGAATTTCGTCAGTTCAGTGAAGGAATATTAGAAGAGAATCTAATTGAACGTGAAGATTTAAGATTTTGTTTAACCAAGTGAGTAATACTATTATTTCTTTCGGTTCTCCTTCCCACCTAACTTCTACTCAAATTGTCTTTATGAAATATGAATAGATAGTTTGTGCAGATTTGTAATTTTTTGTTGTTAATGCCAAGGATTTTGATGCCAATCAATCGGTATTGGATTATGTACATCATGAGCAGATTTCTTTGATATTGCTATTTAATGATTAGTTTTTGTTGTAACGCTTGCTTAAACAATTCCCAGCTAAATCCTATTGCCTAGTATTCTCTGACCACAATACCCTGGACAAGTTCCAAAGAATCAAAAACACGGTGGAACAAGAAAAGATTATATTCCAAATAGCAAGGTTAAATGGAAATAAGAAGCCGAAGGTGAAGGCGAAAATAGATACAACGTTAGTTTCTTTATAGTATTTTCATGAGAAGCTTCTGGATTGTAATTCACGTGATCGACTGGATTGGATTTAGCCAATCAGGATACATCTAACAGCAGGAGAATCTTCTACCCTGTTCTCCTAGAATCGATCAGGCGCTGGTTGGATAGGAAATTAGCCAATCAGCGCGCAGCAACGTAGTTATGCTTTAATTCCATCTATGTCCCACTAACAGTTTTGATTAAAGTCAGACAATGACCAGTGGTGAAAGTTAGGACTCTTGTTTCATCCGATTTGATAGTCACTTAGAAATGGATATGTCTGCATCCCAGTGTTGATGCTCACATCAAAACTAAAGAAAGACCCAGTACCTTCCGGTTTAAATATTCATGATAAAATAAAAATGTAAGGTTGATCCTCCTCATATGCACATCTACCAACAAGGACTGATTAACCACAGTCCTTAGCATCAACAACAGGAAACTACGAACCCTTACAAATAAAACCCATACCTGTTTTACAAACTTGTTGCGATTTTGACTCCGTAGGTTAGTGGATATCGCATTAGGTGTTTACACCAAAAGGTACTGGGTCTTAGTCTGAGTGTAAACTTCATTGTGGTGATGCATGTAGATCTAGACGAAGAAGCATGCGTCCTGGATTCGATTGATGGTCATTATTGTAACTTTAATAAAAACATGTTTAGACATATTCTCACAATCTCTAGCCCCAAAATGCTTTGGTACAGCCGAGAGTGAAAAGAGTCCGCTCTTCCTTGCGACACGCTCTCATTTAACCACGGGTATATAACTACTTCCAGGGAAGTCATACATAATAACTTCTCACCAGTGGGATGTTGTTTACGAAATTGAGAGAACGGAGAGCGATTGTTTGACGCTTCAACCAGGTTGGTAGTTAGGGAAGGATCCACTACGGGCGACTGAAAAACCCTGGTTTCAAACCAATCGTGGCTTGACGTGTGACCCCATAAGAAAACCACCTGTTCCAAGCAACTTCCTTCTTTAAATTTTTTGGCATATAAACATTTAGATGCCCCTTTGTATCAATAATTGTGTTGAAATAAAGAAATAAATAATTCTAATAATGCACGATAATATATTGTATTTATTAAATAACTAATGACAAATTCTATTGGTTTTACATAAGTAAACGATCTTTGAGCAAATCACAGTGTTCGTTCTTTTAAATGCCCAGAAATATGAACTACAATGAATTATTGATGTGATACATGAACTCTGAATTGGTCATATTTATCGGTTTGCCTTTTAACTAGTTCCTTCTAGGTGCTCTTTATATAGGAGCAAGCAGACAAACAGTATCATGTTTCATGGTTGTATGAAACGTCACATTTATATGTAGATGATGATCTATGTCGAACTACGCAAATTATTCGATTGGAAAAAGTCACTGCTTATCAATCAGTTTGTTTAATTATGTTACACATGAGCTTTAAACATATTCATTCGACTGTTGATAATACAAATGTGTACTCTATCTTTATTTAATTGGGTCTGTTGAACATTGAAACGCTCCATTTATATGATGAACTGTATCCATTCTACGATTTCATTAGTCTATTCAAATTATTTTTATTATTTTTTTCGTTATAGTGATCATACACGTGTTGTAGGCGAAGACATTTATTTGCATATTCCATCATTGGAAAATGTATCATATCGTACTACAGGCCAACAATTACATAAAGTAAGCTATGGAAAATGTTATTTTTAAAGTAATTAATCTTTTTTTAATTTATTAGAATTTTGCATTACAAGATCAACATTCAAATTTGGTATTGACTCCTGTGAATGATGATAATTCACTATTGGAGAAATTTGCATTTTCTGACGCTATAGCTTTGTCAGGTAGGCAGTTTTCTTTTTTCATTGAAATCATCAGTCATGTCAGTAGTCATTGTTATTTCAAAGAAAAAAATGTCTTTATCATCCATCTTGTTATTGCATAGTGTTATGCACGTCACTTTCTATACTTGAAACTATTACGGGTTCACCTTAATCGATAAACGAGAACGAGACAATGAACTAACGTGCAGATAGGCTACTCTGATCCGTTGCCCCAAAGGAACTAACGAAGAAGTCTTGGTATTGCGTAGAAAGTGTATTCTACAAACACCCAGAAAGCACATTACAATCAAGCATACAAATCGCGTTTATTTATACATCATAGAAATGTCCTTGGGAGAGTTACAAAACTAGCGTACTAAAATAACGCAGTAACCAATCGCAACCGAGGATTTTCCTGGTTGGAAATTTGATCTCAGGGTCAACTGATGAGCCTATGAATAAAATCCGAAATTAAGACATTTATCTAGCGAGTTCTGGGGATCTAACATCCCCAACAATAGATAGATGGGTGACACTGTCATTACTGTTGAGTCTGGTTTCATAAAAAAGGATTATTTACAAACAGAAATTACTCGCATGTTAAACAGTGTACAGTGTATGTTTTTAATTGTATAAGGGTAGTATCTTTTTTTCATGAGTCTATCATCTTACAAGTTTGACACTAGTGATATTTTCAAGCAATTAGTTCCTTTTCATAAACTTTGACAGAACTTTGAGAAGACAGAGTTGATCTGAAGAAAAAATGTGATGCATTTGCGCTTGTCAAAGCCTTTTTATATAAAAAAAATTAAATAAAAGTTCAAATAAACATAAGGTAATAATCGTAAATAAAAGAAAGAAAAAAAAAATGAACATAGTGCGGAAAAAAATTGTCGTATTACCTTAGGTCATAAAACAGTTTAAACATTACCAGAGTAATATTGAATATTGATTGCATTATGTCATTAATTTATGGAAGTTTGAAATGTATGTAGATTGTTAGGTTATTCCTTTACAATAGTGATATGCTTGTCAACTGATATGCTTGAATGCTATTACGAGTTCACCTTAGTCGGTAAACAGATGGATCCAGTAACACAATAGGCTAATCTGATCCGATTGTCACCGGCCCTGCTAACTATATAGAAAAAAGTCTTGATATAGCGTAGAAAGTGTATTCTACAAGTGTATTTATTATCAAAAATTAAAATGGTCTAATTGAGGTTCATGTAATTATCACAACAACGTTTTAGAAACGTTAATTGATCTGTCTTAGATAAAGATTTTAATAAATCAAATAAATCATCAGTTTTGAAATAATTTTTGTGGTTTTTTTTTCATTTCTCAAATTCATACACTTTTTCAACTAATCTCATAATAGTCTTGATACAATCCATTTGATTTATATTGTAGATGACTATTGTTTTCTATTATTAATGACTGACGAAATCTCAGCACGCATACAGAAGGCTCGATTGGCTTTTGCCAACGTGCGTCACCTATGGCGCAGGCGAGATATCCACTTGATAACCAAAGGATGAGTGTACCGTTCAGCAGTTCGCTCCGTCCTACTATACAGATGCGAAACATGGCCGTTAAGAGTAGAGGACATTCGTAGGTTACTAGTCTTCGATCATCGATGTCTCCAAAGCATTGCTCGTGTATCATGGGACAACCGAGTAAGCAATGCTGTCGTTAGGAAAACTAGTATTAGGTAAGGATGGCAAATCAACAGATGAAGCATTGAAACTTCATCAGTTGAGGTGATTGGGACATGTGGTACATGTGCCTAACCACCGAATGCCTCGACAAGCTTTGTTTTGTGGTGTAGGAGTAGGTTGGAAGAAAGCTAAGGGCGGCCAAACCAAAACATGGCACAAATCCATGAAGTCACTGACAAGTGGACTGAGCCATGTTGGTAGATGTAGACTACGTGGTTGGGGTCCGCGAGACGATAGTCATCAATGGTTAGAGACCTTAAACGACATGGCTCAGAATCGTTTGCAATGGTGCAGGTGCATCCACTCTTTGTGTTCTCTCAAATTCTAACCTTCTGAATTCCTCATAATCTCTATCTTTCTCCTTCTAAATTTATCTTACTGAATTATACTTCTCGAATCATATCTTCGCTCCCTAATCTTCTCCATTACTGCTAGTACTTCTATTATCGCTATCACTCTTGGATTTGGACTGACAGTTGCGTCTCTGTGCTGATGTGGTATGGCAACCTGAACTGATGTACTTACGTACGAAGTTCTGCGTTGTATCTGTCTTTCTGTCTATTAATGATACTATTGTTATTTTTTGATTAATCCGGACTTCATTCGCTGTCGAAATTAATTGTTATTTGTATATAGCAACGTTTATACATATTATATAGTGGTGGATATCAGCTCACCAGTTCTGTGATGAGCTGTGGTATTCGACATACTTCTAAACTAACAATACCAATCATTCTGATAACCTTTACTTGATAACGCCCAACGTTGTATAAATCAGAAGACGAATACGAAGCGTTGAGGATGTTTATTATCGCACTACATACATATCACAAAACCTCAGGCATACGACGCGAAAGTAAAAATGACATGAGAGTACCGAAGAGCAAGCAAGCAAGCGTCTTTGGATTATTTAAGCGCGACTAACATTAGATCAAGTAGAATGAATATTTGTGTAGGCAATAAGCAATACTCAATCATACCTGCTCATACAAACTCGACAACAAGAAATGCACAACGGTACAAATAAGTTGTTGCTTTACCATTGACTGTCTGTTAAATAAGTTAATCACTAGCGTTTATCCAAATTCAATGAATACAAACAAATATATGGGAGTTGCCACAATATATGTATAAATATTCAAAAGATGTAATCTGTTGATCGTAGAATCCTACTGCTTAGATTAAATTCAATCAACTAATATTTTAGTTATCTAATAATTTTAAAGTATATTTCTCTGTGAAAAACAACTGCCTTCGTTTTTCATCTTTGTTTATATATATTGGTTCCCTTTAAAAAGAAGCTGTTTGTGATTATCGAATTGTGATTCGCTGTCTTCTTTAAATAAATATCTAACTGACTTTTTTTGTTGTGGTTGTTTGTTTTCACTTGACACTTGAATGTGTTTAGTTAAATTGTCTCTATTAGAGAATGGATTCGATGCAGCAGTTGTTGAAATTGAACCATGGATTGAAGTAAGTAATGATTGATTATTAGTTAATTCCATTTACTTTTTCATTTATTCTTAATTGGATTAAATTCAATTATCTTTTTTTTCGTTGTTGTTGATGGTGTTGGTGTATTTTTGATCTTTTATGGGGCAGAGTTTTGGAGATTTGTGTTTTTACACGTTTGAAATCATCAATCAATGATTGTTAGACCACCATTATAAACCTGGAAGCACTGAACAGTCGTTTCGTCCTGGTATGGGACTCATCAGCAGTGCGCATCCACGACTCCTGCTCCTCGCAGAATTCGAACCCGGGACCTTCGGTCTTGTGCGCGAACGCCTAACCCCTGGACCACTGGGCCGGCATCCAACGGTGCAGGTGTAGTCGGTGCGCACCGCTGATGAGATCCATACTAGGACTAAACGACTGTTCAGTGCTTCCAGGTTTCTAATGGTGGTCTAACAATGATTGATTAATGATTTCAAATGTGTATTTCTGATCGGTTTTTCTCGTAATATTCGGTGATCAATTTATCAATGACAATATCTAAGTATTTAATTAAGTAGATTCAACACCTCTAGTTTTGTCTTTCTAAACTTATCTCACTGAATCATACTTCTTGAATAATATCTTCTAATCCTAACCTCTCCGACTACTTCTAATACCTTTACTACCTCTACTACTATTGGATTTGAATTGACAATTACATCTCTGTGCTAATGTGGTATGACAACATGAACTGATGTACTTACGTACGAAGTTCTACGTTGCATCTAACTGACTGAATTAAGTAGATTGGTATTTATCACAAATTGTCTTGAGATGAAGTTATCATCGATAATCAAAAGGAGTAGAAAATCAACTACAGCTACCATGGTCGTAATATATAGGATACCTAAGTGTAGTATGTACTGATAACTTCAGGCGCCAAACTTAAGATGTTCCGGTGATACAATGAGTCGATTAATCGCTAGATCATTAGGGTTGGCATTTCAACCAGCTTGTGATCGATCATTCATTGCCGACTTATTTGAACTTTACCAGTAAAAGTTCACATTGGGATTAAAAGAACTGGTCACACATTAGTTAACTAATCAGATTATTATCATAATTATGTTGAAAAGATTTTTCAGAGATTACTACCTATCTACGGATGAAACTAATGTTCACAGAACTCCTCTAACAAAATTATAGGTATTTAGTGGCCCGGAATCTGACTTCAATTTTGACGAACAATTCAACATGCTATGAAATAAATCTTTCATCTAATTTCTATAAATCATTCTTAGGCGAACCCCGTTTGTGAGACGATGGTGGTTAAAAGCTCAATGCGATTTTGTGGACTAATTTATTTCATATAATCATTTAAGCAGACAGACAATACAGAGAATGGCAGTGAAGTGGAGGCGAGTGGGGCATGACTAAGTATTTAATTCGACAAAAATAAGCTAGACATGTGATATTATGATGAACGACGCAAGTAATGCACACAAGTTTAAAACAACCTAAGTTATAGCGAATAATTGACGATGTCAAAGACATGTAAATAATAACTGGAGAGGAATGGACTGATTGGTTTGTTCAAAGTGTTGGACAAGCCATCTAAGCTCTACTTATGAGTACACACTACAGGTTTAACTAAACAACTGTTTACACTTTCGAATGACTAGATTAAACTGTTTGAATCATTTCTGCTATTTAAGATTCATGTCAATAACAACTGGGTTTCTTAGACAAATATGATTCACAGACAATCACGACTATTTCTGTTGGTTGTACAGTTTATGTCAAATAAAAATTTCATTTCAAATAATATTTTAGTAACTCCTTTATGTTAATCATTATCAATATTAAGAACTGGGTTAATAATTGTGCAGTTCAGTTGAGCTTCTATACAGGAAAGTCAGTCAGTCAGTCAGTTACAACATAAAACTTCGTACATCAGTACATAAGTTCAAATTGCCATACTGCATCAGCGCAGAGACGCAAATGACAGTTCAAATCCCATGACGGTAGAAATAATAGAATTATTATCAATAATGGAGAAGGTTAAGGTTCGAAGATATGATTCGAGAAGTATAATTCAGTGAGATAAATTTAGAAAGAGAAAGATAGAGATGATGAGGAATTCAGAAGGTTAGAATTTGAGAGAACACAAAGAAGAAATATACAGGTAAACACGAAAATGAAATGAACGAGATAAAGAAAACTAATACTAGAAGTAGTAAAAATTTAATTTACTTAGAAATGAAACAATTTAGATCAAATCACAAAATTTTAAGTATAACACACTCAACGTAAGTAATATTTACAGAAGGGCAAAGAATCGATGTACGGTTATGCCGTTTTGATCAACTTTATGCCTTGTGTATTGTGTAGATAGGTACCAATTTGAAAGTTCGCATTTATCACTGAACATTGATCGCTTAACTAAAAGTAATGCCATCTATTTATTAGCCATGTGACTATCGACCTAACTTGACTATTACATGTCTGGTCTTTGAATTGGAATGTTGTTACGTGTGTGAATATTCCTGTTCAATTTAAAAATGAATTTCAATTGTCGTTTTTTAATCCAATAAGTCTGCTAAATAAACACTAGATCTGATTTCCTAGCCGCTTTTAAGAAACCCAGATAAGATCTACACAGCATCTTGAACTCCAAGGTTAGCTTATTTACAGAAAAACAGGGTATTTATAGAATTACATATGACCCTATGTTTCCAGAAGTTTACGGAACAATGCCGAATATAGTAATCAACGTTTCTAATAGTTTGTTGGACCCCTATAAACTTTTCCGCGGATCACTTTGGAGTTCTCAAACATAGTCTTATGTAATCATACAGTTATTTACGTTCTAACGTCTCTCTTATCGATTACCATCAATCATAGAAGTTATTTTATTCTCTAAAGATGTAATTTCTGTGAAATTAAAAAATATTGGGAAGAAATTCATCTTTCTATGAGACTACAAATAAATTTGTATCCAAAATATTTTTTATAAATGATAATTTTCACAATGGTAATCCTTAATATTTATAAATGCTAACCATCTTTTTGAGTAATCAAGACAAATCAATCAACTGACAACTTATATATATTGTACAATATAATGAAACAATGCGGTTAATCAATTATAAATCAATAGATTCAAGCAAAACTAAATATTGAAAGGCAACCTAATCAATCTGTGTTGCAAGCCCTCAAGAATCCCTCGAAAAGTTCATAGATGGTGGAATGAAAAGTAAAAGAACTTTCGTCTAACCATCATTCAATGATAAATCTTCATAAATTTCCAGAAGAGTGATAGATTGTGTGTCATGTCATTGTTGGATATGCACCAATTTCTTTCAGAATCCTTCAGGACTTCAAGGTTACACATAAGCCTCGGAATATTTTTCCTCTTTTTGTACTTAATCTGATCTTCAAAGTAACGCTTTCCTTTGTGAATCCCCATTTTTTTCATCTTACCTTCAAGACTCAAGTGTAGGAAAATTCTGTGCTCAAACACTAGGGGCATCAATCAGTAGAATAGGTTTTACGTGGACTATTATAATTAAGACTTGGTTTTCAGTTGTTCATTTCTATATTCCCCTATCATTATTTGCTGTATAAATAAGTTTATTGTAGATTTTTTGAGAGGTAATTTAATATTAGTAATATTAGTAATCTAATATAAGTAATCTAATATTAATTAGTTCAACTGTATAAAGCGGTAATTATACATTTTGTTGTTTATTGTTTGTTTTGTTTTTATAGAAGATGAAAACTGGTCGAGGTGCTAAATTTCGCCAATCTGCAGTTTTACGAAAAACTGGTGAATTATACACAATAAAGTAGGTTGAACTGTTCTCCTCTACTCGTAGACATCTATATAATAATTGTATGGTATAAACAATACTTTATTTTAACAAACTAATCGAGTTAAAGATAGGATGTTTTGGATTCTAATGAGAAATTCTTTCAGTCATTATGGTCAAATATCATTTCTGCATTTGTTGGGGACGGTAGATCCCCAGAACTCACTTAGAAAGGTCTTAATTTTGTAATTTTATTCTGAAATTTCGGATTTCCATGTTTTCGCGCCGGTTAACCTTCAGCTCACATTTCCCCCTCGGGAAATCCTTGACTGTCATTGGTTGATGGATTATTTTAGTACGCTATTTTATGGCTCTCCCAAGGGCGTTTCTATCATGTATAAATAAACTCGATTTGTGTGCTTGTCAACCTCGTATTTTCTGGGTGCTTGTAGATACACTTTCTACGTCTCATCAAGACTTCTTGATCAAGTTAGCCGGGCTGTGGACAAACGGATTAGATTATCCTATAGCGTCACTGTGTGATTGCTTTCGTTCCATTTACCGAGTAAAGTGAACTCGTAATCGTTTCAAACATACCGGATTATAGCTGATGTCAATTCATGATGAAAACTCCAACTGTAATCCTTAATTTTACTTCCACAAATTTGGTTGTAACCACCTTTGACTCTACTAGGGTAGGTGGACTTTATCAGTGACTTTGACGTCATTTTAAAGCCTGTCCAACGTCGTTGTATAACTTATTATTTTCCGGAGACTTACCATTGAACTGTGAAATTTTTTTCAACTACTGACCTATGAAGCTTTATCAATATCAGTTTTTATGGAATGTGCACGTAAATACCCCATGTTTGTGAACCACCTGTAATATTTAAATGAATATTAGTTTACACACCAAACGTCAAACATTTCATCCATAATCTGCAGTCAACCATCGAGTTATAGCAGACATATTCTTTCAATAAGTACCAATTATCATTTTGAAGTCTTTGGTTTTTATGTTAGTGTTGAATAATTCAACTTCTGCTGACATATTCATATTAGATATTAAAAGATTCAACACATTCTGACAGAAATAGAGGGATATTTTCACTGATCAACTAAATGTTGAATACTCCACCATTTAAAATAATCATCCCTGATGGACTGGTTTGTAGCAAAACCTCAGAACCCATTCAAAGATCTCAGTTAGTTTTTGTCAACTTGCATCATTTACGAGATTCTGGAGATGTTCGTCTGCGAACTAAAGTATTTCTTTACTGCTCAGTAGTTCTTTCGGTTCTACTTTATGTTTCTGAAACTTGACCATTAGGAATAGAGAATATTTGTAGGTTACTAGTTTAAAATAATTGGTGTATTGAGAGCGTTTCTCGCTTATTTAAGGACTATCGAGTGAGCGACGTTTATGTTATTAGGCATAGGATACTAAATAAAGATGCGAAATTGATTAATTTGGTTGTGAATGCTGATTAATTTAGGTGACTAGGATATGCGATACATATTTCTAGTGCACGATGCTCACTGATTGTTACGCCTGCACGTAAACACGTCAACTTGATATGCTTGAACTATTACGAGTTTGCCTTAGTCGGAAAACGAGAGCGAGGATCCGGTGACACGACATGCTACTCTAATCCGAGTGTCCCAACCCCCATATTGAGTAAAAATAAGAAGACCTGATATGAAGTAAAACCTGTATTCTACAAACATCCAGAAAGTACGAGGTCCGAATTCAGAAGAGAATCAGAATCCCGGACTAGGGACCCAGGACCGGGTCCTGGTCATAAAACGTTACAGATAATGCTTATTTATACATTTAGGTCGAATAGGAAACAGCATCAAAGTCTGCGACATTGACAGTTAAGGCAACCAATAGGAAGCAACATTTGGAGTGACATTTATAGTCAGGACAACCAATAAGAAACAACATTGGAGCACGTGACATCGATATCTAGGATGACCATAAAATTGACCGGTAGGAAATAACCAATAGGAATTGACCAATAATTCTCTTAGGATATTGGATGAATATCCTAACACTGATATAAGAGTACGCTGAAGGGAATCTATGAATAGCCGAAACAAATCGTGATATCAATTCATGAAGCCATGGACTGTCCATCATCTATAAGCCATATTTATAGATGATGACTGTCTGATTGGTGTCCTCATGATAATTTTCTTAGAATAAAATAGTGGACTAAATATTAATGAATAATTTCAACTGTGAATATTTATTATTTACATAATCCATCGATTTGTAAAAAATATTTTTCTTTTTTTTCCAAATTTATAGACATTTATTAAATGTTAGTACTAGTTTAATTGAAACACCTGATTTCTATTGGGAAAGACCAAATGTTGAGAAATTATTTGAAAGATTAAAATATGTGTTAAGTGTTCCATCTCGAATTAAGGTATGTTTGTTTAAATGTGTTTTATGTACTTACGAATGAATTCAATCAGTTTATTTGATCACTTTTCAAATGATAATTTCTATGATTGTTCAAATTTCTCTAAAAAGTTATTTTTTTACCTCGAAAATCTTTCAAAGTGATTCGAGTAAAAAGCCAAAGCTGCTTATGATGTAAAAATCTATAGTGTATATATTACATAGATGTTTGAACTTTGTTAAATCCATAATAATTTGGATTAAGACGTTGGAAAGTTGACCAATAATTCTATATGAACATAAACTGATCTGAAAAGTAGATTTAATCATACAGTTAATTAGTAAATTGCTAATCAGTGATTATATATACGAATCCTATGTCTAACGTTTGTGAAAAAAATTATTACTCAGTCATTGTTATCTAAATACCATCACATATATACTCAACATGGTTGTTATCAGTTGGTTGATTTTGTGGTGGCCAGTGTCTCTACTAGTTTGTTTCGTGACGTTCAGTATCCTATGTGTTCTTAGACTTCGTCCAGGCAACCGTTACTAAATAGCGCCTCACGGTTCATAAATCAGAAGGCCAATACGTTTATTTGGCACACCACAATTAGACGATCCAAACCACAGGCTTACAAACATAAAATCGATATGCGAGTGCCAAAGGGCAAGCGAGTGAGCGAATCGGCGAGTGAATTAATACGATTAAAATTTTACACATAATATACATCGAAAAATGTCTGAGTCATCGAAATATTTAACAGATTAACATCAAAGCGAGTATGATGAATATGCGCGTATACGGTAAGCCAGGTTTAGTCATATCAGCTCATACAAATCAGACAATTAATAAAAGCCAATAGAAATAACTGATGTAGTTATTTCTATACAAATGACTCGGTCAAATTAGTTAATCCAAAGACTTTAACCAAATTAAATATGAACAAGCTCAATTGTATGTGGAGGTATTACAATCTATTCTATGCATAGATATCTTATGTTCACTAAAACCGCATGTAAAATCAAAGATTTCACTGTATATTATGAGTTTAATATGACACTGCATTGTTACATGCAACTCAATTATTATTATAATTATTAATCATATAATTGTTGGTTAATAAACTCACAATTTAATATAAACTAATGATATCGAACTATATGACTTGTACTTGTTTTTGTGACATATTCTCTAAATCTATCAAGTTATCAAATGAGATATTGTATAAGTCACAGAAATTCATCTTTAGGATAAACAAATAAACTTCTATATGCATTATTTGTTCACAAAATGTAATGTTTTTGTGATGGTGTTTCATTCTCTGAGCTGGATGTTTTGGTTGTAAAGCTTTCATTGTTCTTCTGAACAACATTTTTACGCATGCGCGTAACCACGTCACTTGATATGCTTAAACTATTACGAGTTTACCTTAATCGGAAAACGAGAGCGAGGATCGATGATCCGGTGACACGACATGCTACTCTAATCCGATTATCCCAACGCTCGTTGAATAAAAGAGAAGACTTGATAAGAAGTAGAACCTGTATTCTACAAACATCTAGAAAGTACTAGGTTCGGGTCATAAAACGTTACAGATAATGCGTATTTATACATTTTGGTCGAATAGGAAACAACATCGAAGTCTGTGACATTGACAGTTAAGGCGACCAATAGGAAAAAACATTGGAGCACGTGACATTGATATCTAGGACGACCATAAAATTGACCAGTAGGAAATAACCAATAGGAATTGACCAATAATTCTCTTAGGATATTAAATGAATATCCTAACAAACATCATCAGCACAAACTTCAGATAGAAGTCTACAAAGTTTCCACATTGTCTTTCTATAGATGATTTATCATAGAGTCAACTTTGTGATAAGATAATTAGGTACTTTAAAAATATGTTTTCCACACCATATGGATAACTTATTCAGTACAAAAATCATTCGTAATATGTCAACTAATCGATCGATTGAAACTCTTTCTTCCATATACACACACATATATTCAACAAACAATAATCAAGGTCTAGTCTATATAGTTTATGTTCCAGGTCAACATTTAAAAGGCACTATTCATATGATACACAATATGGTTGTTCCATTTTATGTAGTTTCTTTTTTAAAAAATTACTAGAAAATAGTTCAAACCCTACTGTTCATTGATTATTAATAAAGTGAAGTTATTATTATCGTTTATTTTATTGATCTAAATAAAATGAACTAAATCTACTCAATATGGATTCATTTATTTTCAATTAGTTATTGATCAGTGCTGTGCACTGATATATGTATATCATGTTTTTACAAGCGAGTAAAAAATCAATATCATTTCAATGATGGCATGTAACTATGATAACGTAATAATCATCATTAGACAGACGGTTATTGTTGAGTTTTGGTTAAACTCATAAACTGATCGATGTTAGAGCACTGTTGGAAACTTGCAAGCCATTGGATGACTGTTTCGTACCAGTATAGGATTCCTCAACAGTGTACATCAGCAACTCCTCCACACATAGGGATCGAACCAGTTAGTTATACAAACGTGTGGAAAATTATCACTCAGATGAATTTTTACCGACATTCAATTATTACAAGTAGTTCTACATAATACAAGAGTAGAAATACAGATTAAAAATTGATGTAAATATGAATGTTTTTTTGTTATCTGTGAAATTAATAATGAGTTATTGGTAGGTTGTATGTGGTAGTGTCCAGAGGTTAGGCGTTCGTGCGCAAGACCGAAGGTCCCGGTTTCGAATCTTGCGGTGTGCAAGAGTCGTGGACGCGCACTGCTGATAAATCCCATACCAGGACGAAACGACTGTTCAGTGCTTCCAGGTTTCTAATGGTGGTCTAACAATGATTGATTGATGATTTCAGATTGTATAAACATTTTCTGTCCATTAAGATTGAGTTTTTTGGCATGCATTCTAATGACTTTGTAGCGTGTCGCATCGAGATGGACTAAGATCATCATTACAGATCAAATCTCCAATATATCAGGACGCAACACCATTAGATGAAGTTGTTTATTGGGTTGAGCACAGAAAAAATATTGAGCTTTACGGATAATGCATATTTGTACGGTTAGGTCGACTAACAGGAATTGACCAATAGAATTAAACTTACAAATAATTCTTATAGGATATGGGATGAATATCCTAACAGGTAGCCAGTCCTTGCACCAATAAGGTATGTCTCGAAGAAAATTATATATTCTGTGAATACACTTCATAGCTGATTTGAAAAAAAATAGTAATAAAAGTTTCAATAATCCTCAAGTTATTGCAGTATACTTAAAACAATTACATTCCTCTAGATAATGGTCAATCATCTGACCCCTTACTGCTGAACTAGTTGAGATAAAGAAAGTTACTCCAAGGTTATGGTCGTCCTAACTATCAGTGTCACATACTTCAGATGTTGCTTCCTATTCGACCTAACTGTATAAATATGCATTATCCGTAACGGTTTAGGACCCGGATCCTTGGTCCGTGGTCCTTATCCTCTTCTGGACTCGGACCTCATATTTTCTGGGTGCTTGTAGAATGCACTTTCTACTTCATATCAAGACTTCTTCTACTCAATGAGGGGTTTGGGACGCTCGGATTAGAGTAGCCTGTTGTGTCACCGGATCATCGATCCTCGCTCTCGTTTACCGACTAAGGTGAACTCGTAATAGTTCAAGCGTATCAATTGGCATGTTGACGTGCAATCGTAACAAATACTGATTAATTTTAAATAAAGACAATCTTATTAAATATCTAGTTAGATTGCTAAAACAAAAACTAACTTTTGGTTTTAAGAATATTAAGTAACTGTGAATAAAACTTAAATAGCTAGCAAATATTATGATATTTCTCTATTATATTTGTTTGACTACAATGAGGGACTGAGTTAGATAGAATTAAGTTTTTACCGTCAGGAACAGGATTAAGCATTATTGTGTGTATGTACGTAAATTAATCTTTAATCTACATTCTCTCCAAGTGTTAAGAATCGATTATCAACTTAGTCATGTAAACACAATAACTTCTTGATAAATTGATCGGGTTAAACAGTGATAAAATCTTAAATTTAGCCTCATTGTTCATGTTTCAATGAACAATCTATTTTTATTTTCATGCCATACAACTTTATATGATTTCACTTCAAATGTTTCTTCGTAATGTTTTTTTATTCTCCCACGTATAGATTTTAAATTCACGTTTGGATATGTGTAATGAGTTAACATCAATTCTAACCAATCATTTATGTTCTATACATTCAATACGCTTAGAATGGATGGTAATCATTTTAATTTTCGTTGAAGTTATCTTTGAAGCAGTTAATTATTATGATAAAGTTGGAAAACGAGAAAATTGATAATTATTATGTATATGTATGATTTATAAATTTAATATTATTCAGTAAAAAATTGGTCTCTCAATGATCGAATAATTTCTTTTTTTTTCTGCTTTCTTCTGATATATTATGCTATGACATGAAGTATTAATCTGTAGATTACTGGCATGTTTTGAAACTGACAAGTGAGTAGTACTTACTTACGCCGTTTGCCCTTAATGGAACATAGGCCGCGGCCCATCATTCTTCAAATTTCTTTAATAAAATTGGATCATTATTCATTCAAGCGGCTTTTCTATGTGTTATGCATATCTAACCGCATACCTGTAGCCTAAATTTGTGTAACAAGGTGCAGGTTACTAGAAATTGGTTGGTGGATAAATCGTATCATTCAATGAAGTCATCGGTTTTTGGTCTGAGTTGCGTCTGTAAGCATGGACATAGTAGTTAGGCTTTAAAAAATTAATCTAGTCATTGGTTAAAAACTAAGTTCATTCGATTTTTCACCTTTAAAGTTAAACGTTTTGATATTTCACACTATTTTAATCTTTCATATCCGAGCATTGTTTTCTTCTTGATATAAACAGCTATAATACTCCGGCTGCGTTTTCTGTTTGGTCGTTGTTAATCTTTTTGTGTTGAAATAAGTTCCTTTAACTTAAGTCAATTCATATTCGAGCCTTTCTTCACGTTACTTACGATTGACAGACTTGTTTTATCTGCAGTAACTTTGTCAGCTTTCATTACCGGTTTCGTTATGAAATACCTCAGCATATAACTGAGAATAATCAAACCAGCCTTAAAAATTTGTTCTCTCTGAATTTCAGTAATGATTTCCTTCATGTAACTAACATTTTGACTGCCTAGTATACCTGGATACTCTTACTTACGCCTGTTCCCCCTAATGGAGGATAGGCCACCGACCATTATTCTTCGACATACACTGTCCTGAGCCTCTCTCTCCAGTTCTATCCAATTTCTGTTCATTCTTCGCATGTCTGTCTCCATTTCTCGGCATAACGTGTTCCTTGATCTTCCTTTTTTTTGTTTGACCTTGGGGGTTCCAACTGAGGGCTTGTCATGTGATGCGATTTCATGCTTTACATTATGTGTGTCCTATCCACTTCCATCACTTCTCCCTGATTTCCTCTTCTGCTGCAATCCGGTTTGTTCCTCAATCACAGTAGGTTGTTGCTGATGGTGTCTGGCCAACGAATCCGAAGTATTTTGCGTAGACTATTATTGATGAATACTTGTATCTTCTGGATGATGACTTTGGTAGTTTTCAAAGTTTCTACCCCGTACAACAAAATTGTCTTGGCATTTTGATTGAAAATTGCTCACGTTGGTGTTTGTTGACAGTTGTTTGGGATTCCAGATGTTTTTCAATTACAGAAATGCATCCGTTGCTTTGCTGATCCGCGCCTTCACATCTACTTCAGATCCACCTTGCTAGTCAATGATTCTGCCCAGATATACAGTGGTTTTTACGTCCTCCAAGGCATCTCGATCAGGAGTAATTTGGTTGGTGTATGTTGTGTTTTATTGAAGAATCTTGCTTTTCTCTTTGTGTACGCTGAGATCTGCTGTTGCTAAGGCTGCTTCTACAGTGGTTGTCTTCTCTTGCATTTGTTGTTGTGTGTGCGATAGAATGCCAGATAGTTCAGCTGCATCGTAGTTCTTCACTGTGTCCCATGCTTCCCCCCAGTTGTTGACATCTTCATAATCAAGTTGATCACAAGGAAAAAGAGAAAGGTTGAAAGTGAGCAACCTTACCTGACATTGGTCTTCACCTCGAACGAGTCTGTCAGCTGACCTCCGTGCACGATTTCACTGTTTAATCTATCATAAGAATTCCTTATGGTGTTAACTATTTTCTCAGGCACGCCGTAGTGTCGAAGAAGCCTTCATAGTGTTGTCCTGTTCACTCTATCGAATGCTTTCTCGTAGTTAATGAAGTTGATGTAGAATTGTGAGTACCACTCAATTAACTGTTCCACAATGATCCGTAATACTGTGATTTGGTCAGTACACGGTCGATCCTTATGAAATCCAGCCTGTTGATCTCGAAGTTGGGCGTCCACAAAGTCCTTCATTCTGTTTAACACTACCCTGCTGAAGACTTTGTCTGGTATTGAGAGGAGAGTGGTGCCTCTGTAGTTCTCACACTTGCCGAGATCTCCTTTCTTTGGTATTTTGATGAGGTATCCTTCTTTCTAATCTGTTGGTACTTGTTCTCCATCCCAAATCTTTTTGAAGAGTGTGTGGGATGTTTTTGCAGTTGCTTCCACATCTGCGTTCAGTGCCTCTGCTGGAATGTTGTCTGGTCCTGCTGCTTTGCCGCTCTTGATTTGCTGATCTCTTCCATTGTTAGTGGGCTAACGTTGATTGGGAGGTCCGTGGATGCTGCTTCGATGTCGGGTGTGTTCAGTGGAGCTGGTCGATTCAAAGAGTGCTCTACCAACCTGTTTCACTGGTCGTTCTGGTTCAATACCTGGAAAGTCGGTAGGATATAATCATCTGGGCCACAAACCTTTTAGATCTCACTGAGACACTCAATTGGTGCCGCTCATCGTATTCTTTAGTTGAAACTGAAATCATTTAGCACTGACAAAATAGCTATAAGAGTACGGAACGCTGGGGTTCCGATTTCATGCAACTTAACAGAAACTGGAAACTCACGAAACAGTTTCATCGAATCTTGTATACGTTTTCCTTGTTCAATTAAATGACCTGACTATTTCCATTTGTCGAAAGCCGTCGCCTGACTCACTATTACTGTACGTTTCATTATTCTATTTTATGGTGCTATGTACTCCGATATGTCTGTATACAAACCAATACATGCTTGGGACAACATTCATAAAACCTCGGGTGTTTGTCTTTTTATATTCGAACTGAAGATTAGAAATCAATCAAGCGATTCATGGGAGTTATGTGTATGTTAGCCTCATTTGAATTTGAGAAAACCTAACTGGGTACTGTTAACCTTAATAGGTCAGAAACTTTGATGAGGACAACAAGAGTACGTAGTATTAAATTGGTATAACAGAATATTGCAGTGCACAATAAATGTGTTGCTTATTCTCCACACGACAGTTCTAGATAAATGAATGATGTTCGTTAGAATGCATCATGATCAAGAATTAGGACGGCATATTATAATCGGAATAGCAACCATTAGGTAGATGAATTATAACCAATATTCTGATTGACGAATCTAGAATCGGACATAACGCACGAAATCGCTAGTGGCTAAATGTAGTCTGATTGCTGAACCTAGTACCCCAACGTTTCTTCTATGAAATTTTATGAGTATCTGTTAACGGTCTACCAAGTAGCTACGAACTGTTCTCTACATAGAACTTGTTAATTCTAATTGCGAATTCGGCATTCTTATTGGATCGCCCATATTTGTGTAGATTTAAGGATTGCATAAAATGTTTTTACGTGACCGGACCTGGCAGCTACCGTCATCGTTTTTTTGCTTGGCTTTTCTTTGAACTGGTTGCTTCGACCTATCTAGAGACGATAATATAGTGTCCCTATTTTAGGTGTGAACACCTCATTCGTTAGACAACCAGCTGGGTCATTTTTCCTGGTGCTTACTTCAACCGCGTTCATATTGAATCGAAAGAAGTGTCATCGAACTCAAACATATACACTTAACTCCTGATATGTATGGATCGTTTCACAAGATGACCAGAGGCACTACTTACGTACTGCTAGAATGTTGACCCTCGCCTTCGTCGAACGACGGGTAGCAAACTGCGGTTGCCCTTCATCTATTACTAGAGATCGTCGACGCTAGTTCGGATCTGGAATGTTCTGCTATCTCACTATAGTTCTAGTGACAGTATGGTTCTGAACGACTGCCTACAGTTCACAAGCTAAAGGTTCGGTAGAATTATCCCAGTGGAAAGCCTCACTTTCAGCCGCAATTGTATCACAATGGACTGGCGGTCCTTCACTTGCAATACTTGGAATCCGCATCGCAGTTAAAACACAGGTTAAGTGCAATGCAGCTGAACTCCTTTACGTCATTACACTCCGACTCTCAGGAGAATTCATGAGTCCTTTATCTGCTTCAACAGGTGTAGATCTAAACTCCACCATAGGCTTACAAACTCATCGCGTTCTGCCAAACTCGTTTCTACTTGACTTTCAGCAACATATGTTTTCGATCCCTTCTCTCAGCTTATATCGTCCTATATCTTTGTATTCGGTGTTGTTCATCCCAATCTTGACGTTCAGGTCTCCCATCAGAATAGTTCAATATTTCGCTGGGCGTTTCTCGATGACTGACTGCAGCCTCTCATAGAATTGATTTTCATCGTCTTCATTGCAACTGATGGTGGGCGCATAGAACTGAATGGCATTTATTGTAGTTACCTCTTTCTTTGTCTTGAAGGATGTTTTAATGATGCTCACCGAAAGATTATTTTATGCTTAAGAACGATTGAACTACTCTGTCCATCCACTAATCCGAGCTTCCTGTGATATTAACAAGCCACCACCACATTACACAACTGATCATTCGTCTCTACCACCTAATAGATGGCCACACTACACACGCACTGGCAGCCAAACACAGAAAGTATTCGATCAATAAAAGAAACTAAGATTAGGCGAGTGGCAGGCAAATGCGCTAAGTGCAGGAAAAAGATGGCCTTCAAAAGAAATTTACAGGGCCAACGGAACTTAATCCTTTGGTGCAATCCTGAAATGCGAAAATTCATATATCTATGGGATAGAAGTAGGATGAATGATTTGACAGTTTCAAAGAATACATATTGGCATTTAAACCCTCAGCTAACTAGGTCGAGTTAGGAAAAGATGGATACAACTAGTTAGGGAGATCTGCTAGTCATTACTACCGAATACATTCCATGCAATGACAGCTTCGTCACTGATTTAGTGGAAATCGGAAGGATTTTGAATAACCACTCTGTCGTTCTAGTTGCATCTGATGAAAACAATGATTTAGCTTACTCGCCTAAAGCCCTGCTCTTTTAAGAGAT